CCCGCACGCAGGGCTCCAAGCAGGGGGGCCCCTGGCAGACAGGGCTGCCAAGGAGCCCTCGCGGCAACAGCTCCTCGCTTCGGAGGCTCGCCGTCGGGCGAGAATCACCACACACACACATACAGACATGCATACATACATGCATGCATACATGCATCCATGCATGCATGCATGCATACCTACATGCATGTATGCATGCATGCATGCATGCATACATACATACATGCATACATACAAACATACAAATACATACAAACATAAATACCCATGTGCGTGCATGTATACATACATGCCTATGCACGCATGCATGCATACACGCGTACATACATACATACATACATACATACATACATACATACATACATACATACATACATACATCCATACATACATACATACATACATACATACATACATACATACATACATACATACACACACATACATATATACATGCATACATACATACATACATACATACATACACACATACACACATATATACATACATACATACATACATACATGCATGCACACGCACTACCTACACTACCTACAGGCATACAAAGTTTAGTTACGTGCATGCATACATACAATGCATACACAAATCCGCCGATCCGGCGTGTGAGTTTCAAGGAGTCTCAGCTACAGCCTCGAGGCTGAGCTTCAGCCTCTGGGGGGGTCGCCGGGGTGGCTCTGCCGGGGAAGGGGGGGTGGGGGGGGGGGGGGGGGTGCGAGTTTCCGGCGAACCCCGGGGCCGCTCCGGGGGAGTGGAAGATAGGGGGGGGGGGGGCGCCATGCTCCGCTTTTTCCGGCGCTTTGGAGGAGGGGGGGGGCCCAAGAGACCCCCAAGGGGTTCCAAGAGGGCCCCGAGTCGCCGAAAAATCGCTCCAAGACGCCCGAGATGGCCTCCAGACGGCCCAAGGTGTCTCCAAGACGCCCCAAGAAGCTTCCAAGAGGCCTCCCAAGAGGGCCCCAAGAGGCCAGAATCGTTGATTTTCATTGGTTTTCTCAGGGTTTTTAGCGTTCTTGCCTTTTCGGGCGTCCGACGCTCGAAGACGGCCCAAGAGGCCCCCAAGTCCGTCCCAAGACGGCCCACGATGCTTCCAACACGGCCCAAGAGAGCCCCAAGACGGCCCAAGAGGGCCCCAAGACGGCCCAAGAGGGCCTCTGGACAGCCCAAGAAGGCCCCAAGAGAGCCCCAAGAGGGGCCCAAGAGGGGGACCACGAACCGAAAGAACCGAGCTTTCCGCCCCAAGAGGCCCCCAGGAGGCCCCAAGAGACCCCCAAGGGGCCCCAAGAAGCCCACAAGAGGCCCAAAAGAGGTTCCAAGAGGCCCCAAAACAGCTCCCCAGAGGCCTCCAGACTGCCTCCGGCAGGCCCCCGGTTTCTTCCGCGGCACCGCCCAGGGCGCCACCGGCAGGATGTCCTCCGTCTCATCGTTTTCCTTCAAGTTATCGCCTCTTCCTCATTCTCCTCCTCCTCCTCTGCGACCTCACTCCTATCCCTCAACGATCGCGTCACCGAGTGCCTCTTCTTTGAAACATCCTCGCTCTTCAAACGCACATCCATACACACATGCATACATACCTACATTTAAACACATTTGCATACATAGAAAAACAATCTTCCAGACATACATACTTACATTCACACACATACACACATATTATCATACACACATACAAACATACATACAAACTAAATACATACATACGCGCACAAGCATACATACATACATACGTACCTACACACAGGCACACATGATCAATGCATGCATACATGCATGCACGCGTACATACACACACATATATCGTGAAACTCACCGCGTGCTCGAAACTTGAGAGAGACCGCGGGAAGTCGAGAGAAGCCGCGGAACGAGGCCTCTACTACTACTACCACTACTACCACAACCACTACTACTACTACTACTACCACTACTACTACTACTACTACTACTACTACTGCTACTACTACTACTACTACTACTACTAATACTACTACTAGTACTACAGGAGCGTTTCCCAACTAGTATGTGTGTGTGGGTGATGCTGTGTGCGCATGTCTGCGGCGCAGGTTAAGTGGTGTGACTGTGTGTGTGCGTTTGAGTGTGCGCCCATAATTTCTGCGTCTGGAGAATAACCCCGAGCGACCCGGATCGGCGGCACTGGCCGAAGGCCACTACAATACACACATACATACATACATGCATACATACACAAACACAGACAGACAGACGTACATACAGACATGCCCATATACATACATGCATGCATACATGCATACATACATACGTACATGCATACATACCTACACAAAGACAGACAGACAGACAGGCATACAGACATGCATGTACACGTATATACATACATACAAACAGGCAGACAGACTGGCAGGCAGACAGACAGACATCAATGTTTACGTATATGCATACAGACATACATAAATGCATACATCCATACACTCATGCATGCATGCATAGATGCACACATACATACATACATACATACATACATACATACATACATACATGCATGCATGCATGCATGCATGCATGCATGCATGCAGGCATGCAGTCATGCATACTATATAGCTAAATATGCATGCATGTACGTACATGCATACGTACAGACATACAAGCATCATGCATGCATGCATGCCTGCATACGTTCATGCATGCATACATGCATGCATACATACATACACACACACGTACATGCATACATGCGTAGTCATACATTCATACGTGCATTCATACATACACGCATACATACGTACGTGCCTGTATACATGCACACATGCAAACATACACCAACGTGCATACTTACATGTATGCATGTGTACATACATATGCATACATGCGTATTTGCATACATGCATACATACCAACATCTACGCATGCAAATATACTGATATATACGCATTCTAACAGTCACTACATACATGCCATAAACGCATACAGACATACAAACAGACAGGCAGCCATGTCATTACATGCATGAACTACATGCATACATACAAACAAGCATACGGGCAATCATGCATACATACGTACATAAACGAATCCGTAATTAATATGCAGATGCATACAAAGGTACATACGTGCATACACACACTCTGGTGGCGCGCACAAGGGGTCAGGGGAGAAGGGCAGGCTTCTTAGAAGGAGGCTGCTCCTCAAAGGCACGAGCGTGACATCTCTGGACAAGGCTCGCGCCCTCCAAGAGGCAGGGGTGCTTCTGAGAAGCCTTCCCCCCTCCCCCTGCCCCCCGGCGCGCAAACATTGACTAGCGATCCATGGATTTGGCGCGCGGTCGCCAACTCCATGGATCCGGGGAGGTGCCCTCCCCAAAGTGCGGCCGATGGCGCCTCGCTCGGCGGCGGCCATCCGTGATTCCCCATGGAAACGGGATCCGTCGCTAATCCACGCCCCCTTGATCCATGTTTGCGATCCTTGGAGGGTGACAGTGGGGGTCGGGCGCAGGGTCCCGGCAGTGGTGTCTTTATGGGCCATGCATGGGCGATGCATCCTCGATTGCTGTGTTCGGCGGGGGCACCACTTGAAGCTCCCCGCCTGCACCCATGCGCGAGGCTCTGCGCGTAGCCGACTCTTGGCGTGGACCACGCACGCCGACGAGCATGACTTGAGCAGGGACCGTCCCGGCATTCCTATAGTCATACCACGAAACGTTCTTAGAACCCAAAAACGCTCTAAGAGCAAAAGTAATGATCTTAGAACATAAACCCGATGTGATAAAACAAGACACACTCCGCCAGAAATGCTCTAAGAACATTTCGTAGAAGCCACAAAAGGTTCTTGGAACACTGCTTGGTAGGGCTATTAGGCGAGCCAGGACGCTTCGCCACTGCCTGAATGACCCCCGCAGCCCGCCGAGCGACGTCGCCCGCTGGCCGGCGAGGCCGGCGCAGCACTCTCCAGGCCCGCGGGCCGACGCTCCACGGGCCGCCCCCCTGGACAGCAGAAGCGAGCCACGGGGAGGCGGCTCTCGGCACGGCTGCCCCCGGGGCCGCAGGCGACACGAGGAGGCGGAGGAGGAGGAGGAGGAGGAGGAGGAGGGAGGAGGGAGGAGGAGGAGGGAGGAGGAGGAGGAGGAGGAAGAGGGAGGAGGAGGAGGAAGAGGGAGGAGGAGGAGGGAGGAGGAGGGAGGAGGAGGAGGAGGAAGGAGGGGGAGGAGGAGGATCCCCCAAGCCCTTCGGAGCAACCCTCCAGGGGGCTCTTGAGACGGGGGGCGAGCGCGCTCAGACGGTCGGACGTCCCCAGAGGATCTCCAGTCTCCCACCAGGGACTCCCCCCATGACTTACCCGGAAGTCTTAGCCTCACAGGATGGTCACGAGGGTACTCTCTCTTAGGGCTACCTGCAGTTGGTCGAGCCCGTCGGGCTCTCAAAGCTCTCGGATGGTGCGCCGAGGTCGGCCAAGACTACCAAAACAATTGCAACTCGGGCGTGGACCAGCCCGGCACGGCGCACAACCGGCTCAGCCAGATTAAGGAAAAATGCACTGCAAGTTCTTAGCCAGCTCAGCCGATATGTAGGGCCACCTCCAGACCGCGAGCGGACCCAACACCCGGCTCAGCCAAAATCCATTGTTGCAGGACACTGCAAAATCTGGCGCTCTGGCTGAGTCCCATCTGTGCTGAATCACGTTACCTGCTTGCTGGCTGGGGGATAATCCCTCGCCTCACCCTGGGCTCCAGGACTAGAGAAAGAAAAACTGCATAAACGTAACTATCCGCGCACTGCGCGGACTTCTTGGATCCGCCCTAGACCACCCCCCTCCCTGGCGCGCGGAGAGCGCCATGGGCGGCCCTGGAGGCGCCGCCAAGGGGGGCTCCAGCTCCGATCCAAGAAATACGCGCGAAGCGCCGAAAGATCATGTTTATACAGTTCCTCTACTTCTTCGATCCAAGAAATTTCGAATTTCACAGCGGGAGACCAAAGAAAGTGAAGAGGGCATCAGCGCCCCAGACGAAGCCCGC